ATTCCCTTAGGACAAGTCAGATGAAGTTTACAAAAATACTGGTTCCTCTAAAAAGAACTAAGGCTCAAATATATCTGCTCTAGCTGCTGTCAGCAAGGGCCATGAAGCCAAACACTTTGCAAATGGGCAGCCAAAGGCTTAGGCCTCATTTACATATAAAATTAGATGAATCTAGCCACATTGCTCAGGATGATGAAAAAATTCCATACCTTAAGTGCTGTGGTTTGGTTACCCTCTGGGTGTGGATGTGGCTAGAGTGATGGAAATTCTTCCATCCACTTAGTGACTGCTTCATAGAGAGGTGCATTAATCACATTTATGGAAAAAAAACCAACCCCTGTGTAGACATAGGAAATGTCAACATTACAGTAACTGTACGGCTGTACGTAGACAGAGTCTGTGCACAGCTGCATGGTCTCTATACTCATAAACCTTATGAATGCTATTACTTGTAAAGAGACAAGGTGGGTGAAGTAATAGCTGTATTGGACCAAATTCTACACTGCTACAACTACACTTGCATATAATGCTTGTAAATGCAGCAGGACCAAATTCTGCACAGGAGCTTGGATGTAAAATTTAAATTGACTGAATTCAGTGGAGTTACTTTGCATTTTCACAGCTTCACAGAGAACCTAATTTGGTCGGAGGTGGCTTAGGGTATTAAGTGCCATTAAACTAATTCCATTATTTTCAAAGGTAGTTTTAAAATAAATTGAAAGAGGTTGTTAGCAGCAACAATTAGTGCTCAAGTAACAATTTGAAATCCATTTGGCTCCTACTGACAGACATAATATGCAAAGAAACCCAAAGCTGTGATGGGACTCATTGCTAATCAAAAAACTCAGACAAGAAAGAGCCATATTTAGAAGCACTCTTGATGTGAATTCTGGTCAGGTGGAGGGTGGGGGGAGGGGGGGAGAGAGGTTGTGCTGGAAGTATCACTTCCTTCCCACCAGCTTTTGAGCAGTATCAGTGGACCCCTCACCAGTGCAGCACTGAAGGAGTTACACTGATTCCACACCAGATTGAGTAACCTATTGAATTCTCTAGATTCTTTCCAGGAGGATCATGAAGTAAACAGATTTTATTTTGCACTACAGAAAATACTGACCTCAGTTGCACCCAGGCATCAGACTTTAGTGGAGTTTCAGGTGGTAAAACAAAGCAGCAGGATGATTCCTGGCAAAGGGCTATAGCACAGAAACTATTAGTGTAACACTACGCACACTTTCAACTCAACAGCAGTCACCATGGACATGCCCACTCCTAATATATTGCCAATTCCAAACATTACTGAATAATAAATCAGATCCTCTGGGCACCAGCCAGCCTGTCTGCGCGACACTACCCTCTCATCTTTCCCTCTAATCTTTTCTGTCCATATGCAGATTGTTTCCATCCATGTGCAGAATAAATTGTTTTATGTACACCCAGGCATGTGCAAATGTCCATCATCACTAGAAACAAAAAACTGTGCGGCTCTGCTAATCAGCTGGGCAGCATTTGAATCTCTCATGGTTGGCCACACCGTAAGAGAAAGGGGACTCCAGAGAGCTCCACCTAAGCTCTTATCTGGTTCTCACCCCTTTCACCCGTCTATCAGGGCATCAAATGACGAGTCCACACACAAAATTATAAAGGAAACTACTTTATTATCTATAGGATAAGGAAGGTAAAAAGGACTAGGGAAGGACAGAATAACTGGGTCTGGAAGCCAAACATGCACAACAGGGAAGGGAAATAGATGTTAGGCCTTCTGTCTTGCCCCGCTGTAGGGTTGACTCCGTGACAATGGGAGCTAAGGCTAGATCCTAACTCAGAACCCTCCCTAGCCCCTTTGCGTCGTCTCCTGTGTTTATTAGCCCTGTCTAATCAAGACGATCTGTGCTTGCAAGTGTGTCCCCAATGATCAAATACACCGTTAGATGTTACTCCACCTTAACAACAACTGACACTCCAAGCCAGTGACCAGCTGTCTGAGCTGCACTCACTGCACCCGGGCAGTGCACAGGCTGGAGGAAGAGAGAGGCCCAAGCACTCTGAGCACCTTCTCGGGATGCACTCTTGTCGCCTAGCAACACTTTCCCGCTCTTTCCTTGTATTCCCACCTTTTCCCTGAGCAAGGGAAAAGGCTGTCCAACATGGAGGCTCGCCTGTTGTTCTGAACAAAACAAAATGGCAAACCCACAAATAAACAACTTAACCATCTCAGCAGAATGGATTCCTAAAAAGGGCTAATGTTAACAAACCAAGAAGCCCCCATTAACAGCACAAGTGCACAGCTTACAGAAAACACTGGCCCCCACTGTCGCTTTTCAACCAAATGTTCCAGTCAAAAACACCTGATCCCCCTAGGTATGGAGCTTATCTTAACCCTGCTGCATGCCCGAGCTAAGTGCTGCCTGGCCAGAGAATGGACCCTTCATCCCCTCCTGGACTCCAACCCTCTGCCTCACTCCTGAGTCCCCTCCCACCCCCAAACTCCCTCCCAGAGCCCACACCCCCTCCTGAGCCCCAGCCCATGCCCCGGGCTCAGTCTGGAGTCCCCTCCCACACTCTGAACCCCTTGGCCCCAGCCCAGAGCCCACACCCCAACACCCGCCTGGGGGCTAGTGAACTACAGAGGGTGAGGGGAATGGAGTGAGTGGTGCAGGCCTTGGAGAGAGGTCAGGAAGTGGCAAGGCCTGGGGAAGGGGCAGGGCAGGGCTTAGGGTGTTTAGTTGTGTATTATTAGACCATTGGCAACCCCATCTACACTATCTACCATAGTTGTATTCCTGTCTGTTCAGACCAAGTCGCAGCTGGGCTGTTTCATTCTGTTCTAATATCCGGGGTGTGGAAGACCATGGTTATCACTTTCTGTGGAATCATGGTCGGTTTCACCAGGACTTGATCCTCTGAACCACCTCACTCCTCTGTGCACTCAGCTGGCCAACAGCTTCAGTAGCTCACCCCCATACTGCAGAAAGTCACAAATCAAAGTGCCCCCCCATGCCCTCCAGGTATCTCATGGAGTCAGGAGACCCAGCACCCCTCTGGACCTCATATGCGCTAGTTGGGAGACAAAACAGAACACCAGTTTCAACTTTAAGTGCTAGGCCCTACCCAGCATCACCAGCGTTAGGGCTATGTCTACACTAAGCGTGGAATATTGCCGAGCCTCATTTGCATACCTAATGAGCCGCCATTTTTTGAGACTGCCATTATTCCTGAAAATAATCAGCATAGCAGCAATGCCCAAGAGGGTTTTTCTTGTGGAGGAAGGGGCAGTGTAGACAGCTCCTTCTGGCACAAGAGCCTCTTCTGCAAAAAATGGCGGCTCATTAGGTATGCAAATGAGGCTCGGCGATATTCCATGCTTAGCCTCATTTGCATATTTCTGGCGCAGGAACCCACTAGTGCGGACATAGCCTAGGTGTACAGACATCATGAGCCAGGCCCCAGAATATCATGAGATTGGCTTAACACCACTGAAGTTTTAAAAAATAATAAAATGTGGATTCTTTTTACTTGCCCTCTTGTTTGGTGCTTTTAGTGGTCCTGTTTTCAAGTTTTCTCCATAGCCTTGGACACAACGCAACCCTTTTCTTTAAAATGAAAGCTGAGAGTCTCCCATAGTCATGTGATTTCAGGAGCTCGGGCTTTAAGAAAAGTACCAATTATGGGGAGAGCTGGCAACAGCAGTAGGCCCTGCCCCAACCTGTATCGCAATTGTGGCTGCTGAACACTGGAAAATTTAGCTCTGTGCTCTTTTAAAAAATCCAGTCTCACTGGCCAGGAGCATATGTGGGTGTTTGTCTGCTGTCTGCCAATGGATGATGCTCGTATAGTTGTCTCAGCAGATGCATCACAAGATGGATGTCATGTTCTTCAGCATCACACACACGAGAGCTCCCTGCAGGGCCCTGAGTTCAGATGGACTTAGGCTAGAATCCATTTTGCCAGCTCTATAGAATGTGAATTTAAAACAGCTAGTCATTTTTAATTAACTCTTTGGCACAGGAATTTCACACCACAAAGAGCTAATTTAAAATGTTCCTGTGGGCTCTTCTAAGTGTGAGGGGCCAGTCAAAAATGAAAAAACCCCACAGGCACTGAACATGATTGATGCAACATGTGTTCAGGGGCAGGTTACCATTTCAATGCTGCCCTGAAATACAGAGGAACCAAACTCAGATTAACCAGCTCCAGCTGCAGTTCATTTATTGAAAAAGTAAAATTAATTCACTGGAAAAGAAGTGGTAACATGATAGCACGTGATCTCAGCCTCTCTCATTTTAGTCTCACCCACTCTACAGAAACTATCATTATTCTGTCAGAAGAGGCTTTAGCTATTGCCTCATGTACTGCATGGAGTAGTGTTGTCACATACAGCTCCTGTCCTTGTAATTCCTCACACAAACATCAGCCAAGCAAGTAGAATATACTCTTAGACAGAATGGGCTGTTTTCTCCCAGGAGTAATATATGCTGTACATGGCCCCATGTGCGCTCTCTCTCATAGCTTTCATTGGAGCCTTTGTTACCAGTGCAAAACATATATGAGGTTTGGATCCCATTCTCATTCATGCCCATGAGATTTAGAGGTAACTTCCTTTCAGGTCAGTGGCATAGTACCAGATTGACCCAGTGGTCTGTACTGGTGCCGATCACTGAGTTTGGGAAGCTTTTAAACTCTGGTAGTTGCTGTGGGCTGGTCTGTTCAGGCCAGCTATTTTGATGAGCTGAAATCATAAGCCTGGGGTTGCCCAAAAAGATAATTACATTTTACTCCCTCTCTCCCTCCCTCCCTCTCCTGTTATGTAACAGGCACCAAAGTAATAGCTTTGTTTTAGATTTCTAGTAATGCTATTTGGATGGCAGAGTGCCAGTTCTGGGCTGATTTTTTGTGGGATGGTGGTGCTGGGAAAAATGCAGCAGATTGGTCGGTCAGCAATCTGCGTTTTGCTTTGGAGTTTTAGAGGACAGACACATTCTTCCAGCTCTATTAATCCTCCTCTGATACAGAGGATTTTCCTGCCATTAAATGATCGCTTTAGAGAGGAAAAAATGCCAACTCTTGAGAGTACAACAAATGGCAGGCTCCAGAGAAGGATGGAGGGGACAGCCTTTGCTCTGTTAGGTAAGTGTTATATCCATGAGTAAACAAATTATTTTTAATAAGGGCTTGTTGTGGCAGTTCATTGCTGGTTCCCCACAATGCTGCAGTGAAAAGCATCCATAGATTTGATTACATGATCAGTCTCTAGTAGCCTAATGATTTTTCCTTATTTCCACCCATCTAGGCACATTTCAGCAGTCCACCTCATGTTACAACTTGGGCAAGCCCTTGCTGAAAAGTTGTTAAGACCAGCACAAAACTGAAGCATGCATTGAAAAGGTCAGTGGAAAAAATAAATAAAAGGAAGAAATCAGTGTGTTGGTTTGAAGATTAGGGGAGAATGTCAATTTAGAAAAGCCTCTCTCTGTGAATTTTACTTTTCCTTTCTAGACACAGACATCATAATGGGACACTACATGACAATGGACTGAAACTGTCTTTGCTCCTTCCATCTTCTTTTAGATCCCAGAAGTTTGCTTGTCAGACCTGAAATGCCACAAGTGAATAACCAAGGTGATGTTTGCCATCATTTTAAATGGTGAGTAGTATTTTTATTTTGTGAAAGTCAATAGCAACATTAATAATTTTTGTAATGATTTGATAACGGCAGGATAAATCTGTCAGTGCTTTGAATTTGGATCTGCTATCATAAGAGACTAGGAAAGGGATGAAGGTGCAAATTCAGATCAGCAACCGGGTTTGGAGTTTGAACCCTCTCAGAATTAGTAATGTTCAGATGATGAATTTTAGCAGGACTTTATCTCTAAAAAAGAAAGGAAAAATACTGCAAATCTTCTGATACTGAGAGGGTTTGCTCCCTCTTTTGCTTTTTTTTCTTTTGGCTTGGAGGACATTGTCTTCTTGTCTTCAATGACTAGATTGTCCCTAATAATGGATTGAGTATCTTATGTGGACTCAACAGATTTATTTGTAAATAGACAACCTTGGTTGTGAAAATCAACTGGTAGTAGATCCACATTCAGGAGAGCAACAGGAAAACTGCTCATTACTAGAATCGCCGCAGACTAGGAAATGACTTGGCTTGACCTGAACTCAAGTGTTTTTTAGCAAGTTGAGGGATTTAGAGGCAAATTGGGAGCAGGTACAGTACTGAACTTGGTCACTGAGTCACTGCATGATTTGGGGCATGTCACTTAGTCTCTCTCTGCTTCAGCATCTTACATCTTTGTAATGGAAATAATTAATTTAAAATGGCTGCTGTGTAACTGTGACTGACATTTGTAAATCCTTCATCTCACTAGTCTTTACGATGACTTGCAAAGGAAAGTTTTGACTAGATTTGGGCCTTTTTTCTTCATAGTTTACAAAGAATCTGAAAAGTGTTTTTAACAATATTATTTAGGCTTGACTTTTCCAATGGAATTGTCAGGAAAGTCAAATCAGGTTTTGGGTGCTGAATTCGTAAAAGAATTTCTTTATCTAAAACATTAATTAATCATCCCAATTAAATGTGTGTTAAGGGACAAATAAAGAATTTTAAACAGTATGAATAAAATCCCTCCTCCTTTTCATTTGTTCCATATTTACAGATTTGATTCCTGTAGAGTCACCATTTTGCTAGTTCCCCAGTCACAACACAGCCTCCAAGCTAATTCTAAAGTAAAAGAATAATCAGAATTTCTTTTTTGGGGGGATAGGAATGGAGGAGGGGAGAGCGGGGATGTACCTTGCCTCTGTGTTCTAGCCTTCTTTATACAACATAAGGCCCTGATCTTCCAAAAAGACTGAGGTGGGCAGACTCCGGTACAAAGTTGAATTAAGATACATTCATTGTGTAACTGAAGTTGAAGTACCTTAACTCCACTTTTGGCGCTGTCCACACTGCAGGAAATCCAAGGGAGAACACTCCCTTCAACTTCCCTTATTTCTCATGGAAGCAGGACTACTGGCATTCACGGGAGTGTCCCTCTCAGACTAAGACTACACCACATGTTTTTTCTTGGATATCTCTGGTATCACGGAAAAACTCTGCTCCGTCCAGGGAACGTGTCTGCTCTTCCGCTTTTTTTTGTGTGGAAGAGCAGATACGCTCTTTCGGAAGCCCTGTCTTCCTCCTCCCACGAGGAAGACAGGCTCTTCTGAAAGAGGAGGCTTTTCCGAAATTTGGCCCAGTGTAGATGGGCTAAATTTTGGAAAAGCCTCTTTCGAAAAAACTATCGGAAAAAGGTACACAAATTGCAGAGTGCAATTAGTGTACCTTTTTCCGATAGATCATTGTAGTGTAGACATAGCCTCACTTTGAACCCTGGAAGATTGAAAGTGACAGCTTCAATCTTCGTCTGTAGTGCAGAAGTACCCATAGACTTCCATTGATTTACAGGGTCTGCCAGGCAATTTTCTTTGCAGGATCAGGGCCTGAAGAAGGGGGAAAGAAGTGAAAAACTCAATTAAAAAAAATTCTGTGCAGGTGGCCTTGAAAACGGATAGAAATGCTCAGAAGACCTGGGAGAGCTTCCAACATCAAACTGATTTGTGTATAAAAGCCAAAAGGACTAGTCAAACAGAAGATTGACAGCTGCTGTAGCTTAATCTTATATAGCAAAAGCATCACAAACTAGAGGTTTATCTTCAAACCACACTCAAGAGCAGGTCCAGGCGGTGATCACTGCACCCTGAGTTCCCCAGAGAGAGCAAATCTGGCCATGCCCCATGTTGTAGCTTGCCTTAGACAAAATGCAAGCAGTAACCCTGAGGAATGGGTGGGCTCCTCAGTGAGTGCCCCTTCTGCTGCTCAAGGGCCTAGCATGAAACACATGAGACTGGCCAGACTGTGATAGACTTTGTTAGCAAGGAGGCTGATACCTTTTTTTTTTTTAAAGTAGCAGCAGCATGAGAGCTGATAAACTGCAACAGAAAAATCACGCAGCAGGTGACGCTTTACCAATGGCAATGTCAAAAGCTTATGCGTGCTCTTTTTCATTCTGGTTGAACAGGATATGGGACACAGCGTAGGAGAGCAAGTACAAAATGAAATCTGTTTTCAGTTCTCTCCCTAAAGATTGTATTTCTCAGACTTGCAGCTGTCTCGGCTTTTCCCTTATACACAGCCCCATCTGACTGCTTACGCTATCACAGGTTCCTGTTCCTCTTCTCTGACTGGAAGCAGGGAGTTTTCACCTTCCGCATCGCTGTACATCTGTTTACTTGATTCTAACTATGCAGCAGAAAGCCATGCCAGCCTCAGACTTGCAAGGCAGGCAGGATGCTAGGAAATAGTATCCAATGGGTAGAATAAAACAGGTGCAGAATTTAACTTTTAAAATGAAAGATCCAAATTGAAGAAAAAAACGTTTCAACCATATTTTTGAACTTGCCTTTCCCTCATGCTTCTCCACCAAATCTATGGCAGGAGTGGCTTTTTAAATATTACAATTTAATTTTACCTGTGGATGGTTCTCCTTTTATTAAAGCACCTACCCAAGTCACTAGTGAAATAAATACCAAACTGAATGGACTTATCACAGGAAAATACCCATGGACATTGCAATGCCTCAGCCAACTAATCACTCCTCCTGATAACTGGCAGACCTGCTTGCAGTGCGCTCAATCCCACCGATAGACCTGCCAAACCCCAAATCACTCCATGCTCATTCCCTGTGGGAGCACACACACATTAATTATGATACTCCTCAGAAAGAAGTGGTAGAAGGTGGAAACATTCCTAAAAGAATTTAATCACAGAATCATAGAATACTAGGACTGGAAGGGACCTCGAGAGGTCATCGAGTCCAGTCCCCGGCCCCCATGTCAGGACCAAATACCGTCTAGACCATCCCTGATAGACATTTATCTAACCTACTCTTAAATATCGCCAGAGATGGGGATTCCACAATAGTGATAAGTTCAACAGGATTCTATACGGACCAACAGAATCTGAGAGAGATTAAACCCATGCTGGACTTCCACAGGAGGGCTTCAAACCCCTAGGGCAAAATTACCTTTGCTAATAAATTCTGTAGGATTCTTCCATGAGAGTTCTGTGTTCTTGAGTGAAAATGTATTTCAATCGGTCCCTGTTAGTGATCTGGCTAGAACTGTGGCATAAATGTTTTGTCATAACTAATGTTTACTAACGGCATCTATTTTTCTCTCTCTCTTTCCTCTCCTCCCACCCCTTACCTGTGTGGCTATGGCACTGCTCTGGCTGCCAGCCATCCTATGTATCCCCCACATCCATGCTGTGTGGGCCTGTGTGCGCTCCTGCCCTGCCAGCTGCGTGTGCACCAGGGAGCGGAGTTGTTCCATCCTGTGTGACCGTGCCGGCCTTCAGCAGATCCCTAGTGAGTTCCCCTGTGAAGCCTCCTCTATCAACCTGGATAAAAACAACATTAAATTTGTCTCAGAGAGGGCATTTGGTACCCTGCCTTCCCTCAAATCTCTCTCACTTCAGCACAACAACATCTCCTTTATCACTCCTGGGGCTTTCAAAGGGCTACCCAGGTTGACTGAGCTTAAAATGGCCCACAACGAATACATCCGCTATCTGCACACTCGTACTTTTACTGCCCTCAAAAGGCTTGTCAAGCTAGACCTAGCTGACTGCAACCTTTTCAACATCCCGGACAGGATTTTCATTGAACTGCCTGCCCTTCAGGAGCTCTTCTGCTTCCAGAACAATTTCCGAAGGATCCCTGGAGCCATAAGAGGCATGGAGAATTTGACCCATGTTTACTTGGAGCGAAACAAAATAGAAGCTGTAGCCTATAATTCTCTGCAGGGCCTGATGAAGCTGAAGTATCTTAACCTCCAAGACAACAGAATAAATGTCATTCATGACCGAGCCTTTCAAGATTGTCAGAAAATGGAGTATCTCTATCTGAATGACAACCTGCTTAGTGACCTCCCAGAAAACTCTTTTGATGGGCTGAGGCACCTGAAAATGCTCAATCTTGGTGGGAACTTTCTCAGGAATGTGTCCAACACCTGGTTCCGGGACCTGGTTGAACTGGAAGTTCTATACTTGGACAGAAACAGGATCAATTACATTGAGGAAGGGGCTCTCGAAAATCTAACCAGCCTGGTCTCTTTGCATTTGAACAGTAACAGCCTAACCACCCTGCCTTTTTCTGTCTTCCAGCCAGTCTTTTTCCTGGGAAGGCTCTATCTTTTCCGGAACCCCTGGGAGTGTGACTGCAAGCTCGAATGGCTGAAAGATTGGATGGAGAATTACAGACTGGTCAGGGATATTCCCTGTGCCTCCCCCTCCTCAGTAGCTGGCATTGACTTGGCAGATGTGCTGTTTGATAGATCACCTGAAGGTTCTTGTCTTGACCCAATGGAGTTAAACGTCACATCCTACAGTGCAACCCCAACTTCAGAGCTTCACTCTACCACAGAGAGCAAATTCAGCAGCCTTATTTCCAAACTCCTGCTCCAGGAGGGCCTTCCTGAGGAGATGGCAAATTCCACTGAAGCGTTAACCAACACCACCCAGTTGGACAGGCTAGCTGATGAAGTTTCTTCGGGGGTGGGGGAATATGCCATCTCCTGCTCTTTCCATCTCCTGGCACTCATTACAGCTCCAGCAGTGATTGTTCTGCAGAGTGAATAACGCCAGGGCTCCCTCAGGCACATTTAAGAACTGAGTTTCTGTGTTGTGTAGTCATTGGAAAGGTGCTGGCACTGCAGAGTTCAGAGGCTGGTCTGGCTCCAAACCTCCCTACAGTACAGCAGGTGTTTGGGTTTGGGGGAGGGGGTTTGGCTTGGACCCTTCTTTGGCAGAAACTAAGCTCCTTGAGGCAGAGAATTTATATTTGTTGGGTTTGAAAAACCCTGCGTTGGCAGAGCATTATGAGAGAGCAGCAATAATAAGGAGTTTGAGTGAACAGTCACCTCTGGGACAGCTGATTTTCTCTGCTAGATAGGAAGGGCAAGGGCTTCTTACTGAAGGCTACACTGCAGTATTTATTCAGTTAGGATCAATCCTGATTTCCCAGAAGTCCCCGCAAAAAAAAATCCCATTGGTTTTCCTGGGCATGGGATTGGGCTCTAACATATCAGCCTCACCCATAAATCCAGAAACACATAAGGAACCTTATCCTCTGCTCCTGGTGCTTTATGCTGATAGAACTCCACTGACTTTAGAGGTGTGACTTCTGATTTATACCAGGGTGAGAGGATATTCAGACCTATTATATTCAACACACATGCCTGCTGCATTATTCCCTGTGCACAATGCCAGGAGGAAGGGAGGGATAAGCGAGTAGGTTGGTAGTGCCGTATTAAGGTCGATAGTTTATCAGTCACACTGGAAACTGTGCTTGGGAAGAGCAAGCCATTGTGACTGTACCTACATTCAAGATTTTCTCATTCTCCCACCTCTGGTCTAACAGTGTTTTTCTCAGTGATCTGTCCCTGAGATCACCCTGACACAGTTGAGGAAGGCAGCAAGCTGTTCCCTGGTATTATACAGGTTGATTTAGCATCCATACAGCTTCAGTGGTGCTAGGAAGAAGGGGTGCACTCATGTAGACAGGGCATCTATGCGTTTACCAACGTTATCTAACCCTCAGAGCAGGTTTAGAGGACGCAGTGGCAAAAAAAACCAGTGGCCTGTCTATAATAGCTCTCCCAGCTGGTACCAGAGGAGCTATACTGGTGATAGACCCACCGTGGGGCTACCTGAAGATGGGTGTAGCGCAGGCTTCGCTGACCTGGTGATTTCAGAAGGGACTGGATGTGAGTAGAAAAACACAAACAACCCCTTCCCCCAAGGTTCCCTCTAAGATGCACGGCCCCACAGAGGCTTAATGAGCCCCACCCAGCCAGGGGCACAGGATTTCCGCACAGAGCCGCCTGGCTGGGGGAGGGGCACTTCTCCCTCAGCGACAGCAGCAGCTCCTTACTGAGGACAGGGCAGTGAGTCTCCCCCATAGGGAGGGGACGTGTCCCTGCCCCAGCCAGGCAGCTCCGTGCACTGAGCCCTGAGCCCCTGGCCTGGAGGAGCCATGCTGCCTTGCAGCTTAGAGGGAACCTTGAAACCCTCCAGCAAGGAAAAAACGAAAAGGAAAGTAGACACGGGACATGGAAATAAATGGCTGAATGATGGTTGGTGATACAGGACTTTGCCACACAAGGCTTATTTTAGCATATTCCCTGTATTGATGGCAGTGACTGGCTATTAACTGGGGAAACAGATGAGTGGTTAGGCAGGTAAGCCACTCAGGCAAACCACAATGGCTTCCCCGAGGCCATTATTTAACATGCCAGGTGTTAGTGGCTGTGTCCTCAAGGAACGCTGACCATTTCCTAGTTAAACAGCTCCACTCTTCGTTTCTGCTGCCCCCCTCAGCAATAGACGGGATTTAATTAGGCCACAACTTCATTCATTTCAAATACCTGGCAGTAAATTGTACAGTGCGGGCCTTCATCGTTCCACCCTGTCGCAGCTACCTCAGTGCTGGGCTGTTGCCGCCATCTCCCTGTATAAGGCACAAGAGGACTCAAGGAAGCGTGGCTGGTTCCATGCTGTTCTGGACACAGCAGCCTCAGTACTGTCCTTCCTCAGCTCCTTCAAGAGAGAGCTAGAAAAAATGGGGAGTGTCAATGCTCTGCTGTACCAGACATCGCAGCCCCAATCCCCTCCTCTGCCAGAATGATGCTTTTTTTCCAAACCTTTCTCAATCTGTTGCTAGCTGAAACAGCATCATCACAGGCTGCCCCAAGGATGGAGCTGGCTCCCACATTAGGAAGGCAGGATAAGGGATGCCCTGAAGGTACAGAGGTGGAGTGGGATCTTCAGTGAACTCAGCTATAGGGCATCAACCTCTGTAGCACAGGGTGGTGGGCTCGATCCCACCTCCTTCTGCCCGTTCAGGCAGCAGCTGGGCAGCCAACACCTTCCATAGTGAGTATGCACACTGCACACTTGCCACAAGTTTTACCTCTTAGAGGGCAACATTATAACCTAATCCCCTTACTGCACCCCACTGGGTCCCAGAACTGCCGTGGGTAAGGTGGAAAAATGCACCCCATCTTGGCAACTTGGGCACTGAGGGAAAGAACCCTTCCCAACCTCTAGTGAAAAAAGGGGACTAGTATATGCCCTCCAGAGGTCATGTAGAAAATCAGCCCTTTTGCATACTTCATGGGAGAAGAGGTAGATGAAATTGTGGCCATTTAGCTTGTGCAAAATGACTATTTAGCTCATGAATTTCCAGGCCAGTTGGTTTCTAAAAGTGAAAGGATCCTCCTTTTCAGTGAAGTGTACCAGCCAAAACAGGGGTCTCTTGTGGCTTAATGATGAACGCTATTGGGTTGGGATCTTATTCACCCTACCTTTTCAAAGAAAAACAACTGCATGACAATTAACAGCCAGCAATTTCTCGTAGAGGGGTAAATATTCCCAAATTAAATGTTAGTGGAGGTAAACTCCTGATCTGTCTGTAGTTATATTAAATTTTTCCCAGTGAGGATACCAGATGGTTTCATAAATGCTTGTTTGACCTGTTTGGTGCATTAAATTCAATGACTTTGGCTTTCCAGGCTATTTATGAATGCATTAATCTTCTTAAATGCTAAATTCATCTGTGGATTATAAATGGTTGTTTTTCAAAGACTGTACCAGCCAAATGCTGTAGATTAATTTGAAGATTTCTTTAGGGTAGCATTATTTCATCTAGTTGCTGAAGGTTTATCAATAGAAATTTGACACAAGTTGCTACTGCATTGGGCATGGTGGTTATTTTTCGTTTCCTACAGATAGATATTTATCATATGAACTCAATATTTTTATTTTTTGCTCCAAGATACATACGAACTGGAGGGCATCTTATTGTACAATTTGTTACAGGGAAGCAGAATGTAAATATCAAGTTAACTCTTGCTTTAAAGATCTTTCTTTTTAATTCAGAAGAGGAAGGTTAAGCTCAGAATTGGAATCAACTCAAAGTTAGCTGAGACATCTGTGAGACAGTAGAGCGGGATGAAGAACAAGCCGCAGCATGACATTTTACTGCTTGATAACATCTAGAAATTCAGAATGCTGCGGCAGTGGTCTTAATTACTTACAAATTAAATGTCTTATATAGTTAAATAGTCATACTATTGCCAGAAGGCTTTATTTCTGCAATATTAGAATAAATCTATGACTGCCTAGTAACTTTAGAGCTGTCAGTTTGCTGTATAGTCACTCAATGTCACTACACCAGAGGGAATAGATCTCATCTTCTGATTGAAAGACCGACCCTACCTGAGCTAAAGAGGCAATTGGCATGTTATTATCAGTATAGAGCATATGACACGCAGTAGAACAGTTCTAATTGTGCTGAGAAGAGGCCATGGTATGTGTATGTCTACATACAGGCAAATTCATTAACACGAAACAGTTTGATTCACATTGGTTATGCACTTCCTTAAGGCTGGCTGAGTGACTGGTGACTCCTTCACAGTAAAGAAGTCTGGAAAACAAAGGGCTATGTTTCATTAACCAATGGCTACAACTGAATGCCAGAAGGAGATTTCAGTGCATCATGAGAATTTTAAATGTGTTGGGATATACATGACCTGTCTCTTTGTTTACATTTCACTAAACTTCTTTCTAAGGCCCTTCTTTCTAGCTCTTAACATTCACACCGAAGTACCTAGTAACCTGTACCTTGTTTTTCTGATTATAACTTCTGTTGAGTAGGATGCATATTAAAATTGAGTCTAGTCTTTTGTTCTAATAGTTAGATTTTATTCTAGGGATGGGCTTAAGCCTCAAAATTTGGATCTAGATGTGTAGGTCCTGGAACTATGGGGCCTGCCACACCCGTTGGCTTGAAGAGGTTTCCATTACATTCAGGGTTTGCAGATTGATTCAATGGTTCTCAGTATCCCACTATAAAAATTATTCCAGCACCCCCATCTGCATATCAAATGACCCCAATGTTGGGTGTTGATGAGATCTGGCATGTTGTGCCACTATAATGATAGATGCCATTTTCAAAATCTGGCTCTGGATTTTGGATATGTCCAGTGTCAATATGGGACTTGGAGTCCTGTGGCACCTTATAGACTAACTGAAGTGTAGGAGCATAAGCTTTCGTGGGCAAAGACCCACTTCGTCAGATGCATGTAGTGGAAATTTCCAGAGGCAGGAATAAATATGCAGGCCAGGATCAGGCTGGAGATGACCAGGTGGATCCAATCAAGGAGGATGAGGCCCACTTCTAGCAGCTGATCTGGAGGTGTGAATTCCAAGAGAATAGAAGCTGCTTTTGTAGTTAGCAAGCCATTCACAGTCTTTGTTTAATCCAGAGTTGATTGTGTCAAACTTAAAGATGAACTGTAGCTCAGCAGTTTCTCTTTGAAGTCTGGTCCTGAAGTTTTTTTGCTGCAGGATAGCTACTTTTAGATCTGCAATTGTGTGTCCAGGAAGATTGAAGTGTTCCCCTACAGGTTTTTGTATGTTGCCATTCCTAATATCAGATTTGTGTCCATTGATTCTTTTACGTAGGGACTGTCCTGTTTGGCCGATGTATATAGCAGTGGGGCATTGTTGGCACATGATGGCATATATTACGTTGGTGGATGTGCAGGAGAATGTACCAGTGACAGTATGGCTGATCTGGTTAGGTCCTGTGATGGTGTTGCTGGTGTATATATGTGGGCAGAGTTGGCACCGAGGTTTGTTGCAAGGATTGGTTCCTGAGTTCGAGTTATTATGGTGCGGTGTGTAGTTGCTGGTGAGAATATGCTTCAGGTTGGCGGGTTGTCTGTGGGCAAGGACCGGCCTACCTCCCAAGGCCTGTGAGAGCGAGGGGACTTGAGATTAAACCCAGCTCTACATTACTGTAGCCAGACAAAACCCCATCTTGT